TATTGTACTGTTGTATCTATTGTGTGCCATTGTTACTGTACTGTTGTATCTATTGTGTGTCATTGTTACTGTACTGTTGTATCTATTGTGTGTAATTCTTATTGTACTGTTGTATCTATTGTGTGTCATTGTTACTGTACTGTTGTATCTATTGTGTGTCATTGTTACTGTACTGTTGTATCTAATGTGTGTCATTGTTACTGTACTGTTGTATCTATTGTGTGTAATTCTTACTGTACTGTTTTATCTATTGTGTGTCATTCTTATTGTACTGTTGTATATATTGTGTGTCATTGTTACTGTACTGTTGTATCTATTGTGTGTAATTCTTACTGTACTGTTGTATCTATTGTGTGTAATTCTTATTGTACTGTTGTATCTATTGTGTGTCATTGTTACTGTACTGTTGTATCTATTGTGTGTCATTGTTACTGTACTGTTGTATCTATTGTGTGTCATTGTTACTGTACTGTTGTATCTATTGTGTGTAATTCTTACTGTACTGTTTTATCTATTGTGTGTCATTCTTATTGTACTGTTGTATATATTGTGTGTCATTGTTACTGTACTGTTTTATCTATTGTGTGTCATTCTTATTGTACTGTTGTATATATTGTGTGTCATTGTTACTGTACTGTTGTATCTATTGTGTGTAATTCTTACTGTACTGTTGTATCTATTGTGTGTAATTCTTATTGTAGTGTTGTATCTATTGTGTGTCATTGTTACTGTACTGTTGTATCTATTGTGTGTCATTGTTACTGTACTGTTGTATCTATTGTGTGTCATTGTTACTGTACTGTTGTATCTATTGTGTGTAATTCTTATTGTACTGTTGTATCTATTGTGTGTCATTGTTACTGTACTGTTGTATCTATTGTGTGTCATTGTTACTGTACTGTTGTATCTATTGTGTGTAATTCTTACTGTACTGTTTAATCTATTGTGTGTCATTCTTATTGTACTGTTGTATATATTGTGTGTCATTGTTACTGTACTGTTGTATCTATTGTGTGTCATTGTTACTGTACTGTTGTATCTATTGTGTGTCATTCTTACTGTACTGTTGTATCTATTGTGTGTCATTCTTATTGTACTGTTGTATCTATTGTGTGTCATTGTTACTGTACTGTTGTATCTATTGTGTGTCATTGTTACTGTACTGTTGTATCTATTGTGTGTCATTGTTACTGTACTGTTGTATCTATTGTGTGTAATTCTTATTGTACTGTTGTATCTATTGTGTGTCATTGTTACTGTACTGTTGTATCTATTGTGTGTCATTGTTACTGTACTGTTGTATCTATTGTGTATAATTGTCACTGTACTGTAGTATCTATTGTGTATAATTGTCACACACACACACGCACACACACACACACACACACGCGCACACACACACACACACACACACACACACACACACACACACACGCACACACACACACACACACACGCGCACACACACACACACGCACACACACACACACACCGATAAAACAATAAAACGATGATAAGAGACTTGGCAGGGTTCAGATGCAACCGGCTGAAGAAACGCCATCCAAGGAGCCGTCAGCGCCAGGAGCAGAGAGCCGCCCATAGCCAAAGGGGACGACACAGAACCCAGAGGAGACATGAAACCGAGGCCCCGGGCCCCCACCAGGTCCAAGAGTCCGACCCCCACAGCCACAGCTAACCACCGCTCCCAGCGCAGAGGGCTCCTCCAGAGGAAACACTGGGGATACTTAAAAACAATACAATAAGTAAACACTAAAATGTGAGCCTGAAAGGAACACACAAAACATGAATAAAAGCAATAGCAATATAATGAATAATAAAGGATAAATAGAATATATAAAAATGGACTAATAAATACTAATCAAAAGCTAATCTAAAAAGGTGTGTCTTGAGCCTGGCTTTAAAAATATGAATGTTCTCTGCGACTGTTACTGTACTGTAGTATCTATTGTGTATAATTGTTACTTTACTGTAGTATCTATTGTGTATAATTGTTACTGTACTGTAGTATCTATTGTGTATAATTGTTACTGTACTGTAGTATATATTGTGTATAATTGTTACTGTACTGTAGTATCTATTGTGTATAATTGTTACTGTACTGTAGTATATATTGTGTATAATTGTTACTGTACTGTAGTATATATTGTGTATAATTGTTACTGTACTGTAGTATCTATTGTGTATAATTGTTACTGTACTGTAGTATCTATTGCGTATAATTGTTACTGTACTGTAGTATATATTGTGTGTCATGGATCCTATGGAGTTACTCGTTGTTGCATTGAGTTTTGATATAACTGTATTTTCTGCGTTATGTAACTACTCCCATGAAACACACAAATCTATAGTAAATGCCCAAAACATATTTGAGAATAAAAAAGTGTTGCTCCTGGCAGTTTTGAAACTGTAAAAAGAACATTCTCACATTCTGAAAATAGTGTTTTCAATTGTTTTGGTGAAGTGGTTAATGAAACTCAGGAGTGTTTACATTTTTGCAGGCCTTGAGAGGTATTTTGGTGTCAGAGTAGGGCTGGGCGATATAAACGGTATAAGCGGTATGCGATATAAATTTGGCCCACGGTAGAGATTTTTGTTATACCGGCATATTGCAATAGGTCATTATGTCATCAAAATGCGCAGGCTCTGACACCAGCAGAAAGCATCAAAACAAACCGGCATTCAGCAGCATTAGCCTAGCACATTAGCCTAGCAGCATTAGCCTAGCATTAGCCTAGCAGACACCACTGGAAACAATGAACAACAGCACGGCATTAACACCATGTTTCTGTCTCTGTATTGTTGTCACAGCGGCCCCAGCAGAGGTAAATACACACACAGTAATCACAGTTTAAGAGTCTACCTTTTGGCCAATCAGTGTCAAAGGGGCGTAGGCTCAAAGCGCCAGCGTGAGCCAAAATAGATCCATGCGTGAGCCGTGTCCGCAGCATCACAGCAGAAGTTTGGGAAAGTTAGCGTCAGATTCCGACCTCTGCGGTCAATATCTGACGAAAGCTACTTTGTTAAACAAAATTAATTGTGCCAAAATGATCATTTACATCAATTGTTTAAATCCAATGCGCTGTTTTAATGAACATAAATCCATTGAATCATCCAGTTCACTGCAAGTGCAGAGAAAAGTTCTTAGAGAGCGTCAACAAATGGCAAGACCAGCTTTGTAAACAAACAGCTTTTACTGAAGTCATGTACCTGCACAAAACTCTCAGACACTATAAATAATGACCATGTCTAACAGCTGCAGGCTTTGATTTCAACATTTGTGAGTGTTTTTATTTTCTAAATAAATACATATGTTTTTCTTTTCTTTTTTTAAATTGCTTTTACAGTAAATGGTCTTTACTGTAACTCACATAAATAATGTATGTTACAGCATTTGTCTCTTCATTTGTCTCACAACTCAAAAAATAAATTCTAATATATAAATAAGTAACACACCAAATTATACCGCAATATATACCGTCTACCGTCTGTGACCCAAATTATACCGCAATATGAATTTTAGGCCATATCGCCCACCCCTATGTCAGAGTTTACTTTTGAGCATATGAGAAACTGTTTTGGTGTGATCTTCAAACTACTAGATTCTAACGCTAGTATTTATATGCTAGCGAGCTTCTGTCACATCTTTAGATCAGCTTTTTCAGAGAGAGAGAGAGAGAGAGAGAGAGAGAGAGAGAGAGAGAGAGAGAGAGAGAGAGAGAGAGAGAGAGAGAGAGAGAGAGAGAGAGAGAGAGAGAGAGAGAGAGAGAGAGAGAGAGAGAGAGAGACAGAGAGAGAGACAGAGAGAGAGACAGAGAGAGAGAGAGAGAGAGAGAGAGAGAGAGAGAAACAGCCCTTCACAGCAGAAGAGGTGGAGTAACCGCTGGTTGGAGCAGGACAAGTCACAAGGTGGAGTAGCCGCTTGGTTCGGTCCATTTGCATTTTTCAAAAAGTCAGAATTCCTCTGGTGGATTTTCACCACTTGGTTCGGACCATGAATCCTCTCCGCTCCGGTCTGGACCAGTGCAAAACTATGAACACTGTACTGCACCAACATCTCAAGTAGAAAAAAGCAATACAAGAAATTAATATTCAAAAGCACAAAATAACAACTGTTTCAGACCTACTTAGGACTTCCAGCCGTTTTCCAGTGCATTCAAAAGTAAAAGACCAGAGACGAGAGAGAGAAACCATATCTCTATCTCTGGTCTCTCTCTCTAGTCTCTCTTTGGTCTCTCTCTCTGGTGTACTTACCAGAACCACGGGGCAGATGGAGCTCGGGGGAAGGATGTGGTCCTTCAGGAACCCATAGTCGCACTCGGGTCGGCACATGGGACGCACACTTGTTATGGAGCTGTGACAAACACACAAAGGCAGTGTGGTTCAGGACATAATGTGTCGTGTGTGTGTGTACGCGTCTTCACATGTTGAAAACTGACATTCTTTTACAACACTTTTAGTTGTAAAATTGTCCTTTATTGTCTTAAAGTAGTTTCCTGCAAATGTATTAACATTAGTGTGTTCAAAGGAAATATTTTATTAGACCATGTCAGGAAAGGTAAATCTGCTTTCTCTCCAAAAGTATCAGTGCGTCGATGGGGTTGCAGATACATCTAAACTGTAGATACATCTGTACTGTAAGGTGCGGGGTAAACAAACGCCGCACCTGGTAGACCGAAATATAGCCTGGTCTTACTCCACTATCGTACAAATTACATTTCGTACTAAGGTCTGGATTTGCCCCATTGAGCACCGTTAACAAGTCGGATGGGTTAATTCCTTTTGCAGACTGAAATGATTGGCTCTGAGTTTACAGTGATGTATGTGTAGCCCATGTGGTCTGAGTCTTGTAAATTTCACCAAAATCAAAATTTTTTGTTAGTATTTACTGGTATTTTATTTAAGTTTATTTCTGTTTATTTTTAAATCGAGGCTTTTATTTTGGCGGTGTCGCCACTTCCTGTGGGTTTGTGGGCTTCCCCTCAGTTGCTGGGAAGAAAGCAGAGGGGAGGTAAGCAGTAAAATCTCTCGTGATTCAAGTCCCGCTGCGCTCTGGCTCGTCCCGCTGCGCTCTGGCTCGTCCCGCTGCGCTCTGGCTCATCCCGCTGCGCTCTGTGGCTCGTCCCGCTGCGCTCTGTGGCTCGTCCCGCTGCGCTCTGGCTCGTCCCGCTGCGCTCTGGCTCGTCCCGCTGCGCTCTGGCCCGTCCCGCTGCGCTCTGGCTCGTCCCGCTGCGCTCTGTGGCTCGTCCCGCTGCGCTCTGTGGCTCGTCCCGCTGCGCTCTGGCTCGTCTCTGCTCGTCCGCTGCTTCTGGCTCGTCCCGCTGCGCTCTGTGGCTCGTCCCGCTGCGCTCTGTGGCTCGTCCCGCTGCGCTCTGTGGCTTGTCCCGCTGCGCTCTGGCTCGTCCCGCTGCGCTCTGTAGCTCGTCCCGCTGCGCTCTGTAGCTCGTCCCGCTGCGCTCTGTGGCTCGTCCCGCTGCGCTCTGGCTCGTCCCGTTGCGCTCTGGCCCGTCCCGCTGCTTCTGGCTCGTCCCGCTGCGCTCTGTAGCTCGTCCCGCTGCGCTCTGTGGCTCGTCCCGCTGCGCTCTGTGGCTCGTCCCGCTGCGCTCTGGCTCGTCCCGCTGCGCTCTGGCTCGTCCCGTTGCGCTCTGGCTCGTCCCGCTGCGCTCTGTGGCTTGTCCCGCTGCGCTCTGGCTCGTCCCGCTGCGCTCTGGCTCGTCCCGTTGCGCTCTGGCTTGTCCCGTTGCGCTCTGGCTCGTCCCTCTGCGCTCTGTGGCTTGTCCCGCTGCGCTCTGGCTCGTCCCGCTGCGCTCTGGCTCGTCCCGCTGCGCTCTGGCTCGTCCCGCTGCGCTCTGGCTCGTCCCGCTGCGCTCTGGCTCGTCCCTCTGCGCTCTGGCTCGTCCCGTTGGCTCTGGCTCGTCCCGTTGGCTCTGGCTCGTCCCGTTGGCTCTGGCTCGTCCCGCTGCGCTCTGGCTTGTCCCGCTGCGCTCTGGCTCGTCCCGCTGCGCTCTGTAGCTCGTCCCGCTGCGCTCTGTGGCTCGTCCCGCTGCGCTCTGTGGCTCGTCCCGCTGCGCTCTGGCTCGTCCCGCTGCGCTCTGGCTCGTCCCTCTGCGCTCTGTGGCTTGTCCCGCTGCGCTCTGGCTCGTCCCGCTGCGCTCTGGCTCGTCCCGTTGCGCTCTGGCTCGTCCCGCTGCGCTCTGGCTCGTCCCGCTGCGCTCTGTGGCTCGTCCCTCTGCGCTCTGGCTCGTCCCGTTGGCTCTGGCTCGTCCCGTTGGCTCTGGCTCGTCCCGTTGGCTCTGGCTCGTCCCGCTGCGCTCTGGCTCGTCCCGCTGCGCTCTGGCTCGTCCCGCTGTGCTCTGTGGCTCGTCCCGCTGCGCTCTGTGGCTTGTCCCGCTGCGCTCTGGCTCGTCCCGCTGCGCTCTGGCTCGTACCGTTGCGCTCTGGCTCGTCCCGTTGCGCTCTGGCTCGTCCCTCTGCGCTCTGTGGCTTGTCCCGCTGCGCTCTGGCTCGTCCCTCTGCGCTCTGGCTCGTCCCGCTGCGCTCTGGCTCGTCCCGCTGCGCTCTGGCTCGTCCCGCTGCGCTCTCTGGCTCGTCCCGCTGCGCTCTGGCTCGTCCCGCTGCGCTCTGTGGCTTGTCCCGCTGCGCTCTGGCTCGTCCCGCTGCGCTCTGGCTCGTCCCGTTGCGCTCTGGCTCGTCCCGTTGCGCTCTGGCTCGTCCCTTTGCGCTCTGTGGCTTGTCCCGCTGCGCTCTGGCTCGTCCCGCTGCGCTCTGGCTCGTCCCGCTGCGCTCTGGCTCGTCCCGCTGCGCTCTGGCTCGTCCCGCTGCGCTCTGTGGCTCGTCCCTCTGCGCTCTGGCTCGTCCCGTTGGCTCTGGGCTCGTCCCGTTGGCTCTGGCTCGTCCCGCTGCGCTCTGGCTTGTCCCGCTGCGCTCTGTAGCTCGTCCCGCTGCGCTCTGTGGCTCGTCCCGCTGCGCTCTGTGGCTCGTCCCGCTGCGCTCTGGCTCGTCCCGCTGCGCTCTGGCTCGTCCCTCTGCGCTCTGTGGCTTGTCCCGCTGCGCTCTGGCTCGTCCCGCTGCGCTCTGGCTCGTCCCGTTGCGCTCTGGCTCGTCCCGCTGCGCTCTGGCTCGTCCCGCTGCGCTCTGTGGCTCGTCCCTCTGCGCTCTGGCTCGTCCCGTTGGCTCTGGCTCGTCCCGTTGGCTCTGGCTCGTCCCGTTGGCTCTGGCTCGTCCCGCTGCGCTCTGGCTCGTCCCGCTGCGCTCTGTAGCTCGTCCCGCTGCGCTCTGTGGCTCGTCCCGCTGCGCTCTGTGGCTCGTCCCGCTGCGCTCTGGCTCGTCCCGCTGCGCTCTGGCTCGTCCCGTTGCGCTCTGGCTCTCGTCCCGTTGCGCTCTGGCTCGTCCCTCTGCGCTCTGTGGCTTGTCCCGCTGCGCTCTGGCTCGTCCCGCTGCGCTCTGGCTCGTCCCGCTGCGCTCTGGCTCGTCCCGCTGCGCTCTGGCTCGTCCCGCTGCGCTCTGGCTTGTCCCGCTGCGCTCTGGCTCGTCCCGCTGCGCTCTGGCTCGTCCCGCTGCGCTCTGTGGCTCGTCCCGCTGCGCTCTGGCTCGTCCCGCTGCGCTCTGGCTCGTCCCGTTGCGCTCTGGCTCGTCCCTCTGCGCTCTGTGGCTTGTCCCGCTGCGCTCTGGCTCGTCCCGCTGCGCTCTGGCTCGTCCCGCTGCTCTCTGGCTCGTCCCGCTGCGCTCTGGCTCGTCCCGCTGCGCTCTGTGGCTCGTCCCGCTGCGCTCTGTGGCTCGTCCCGCTGCGCTCTGTGGCTCGTCCCGCTGCGCTCTGGCTCGTCCCGCTGCGCTCTGGCTCGTCCCGCTGCGCTCTGGCTCGTCCCGCTGCGCTCTGGCTCGTCCCGCTGCGCTCTGGCTCGTCCCTCTGCGCTCTGGCTCGTCCCGTTGGCTCTGGCTCGTCCCGCTGCGCTCTGGCTCGTCCCGCTGCGCTCTGGCTCGTCCCGCTGCGCTCTGGCTCGTCCGCTGCGCTCTGGCTCGTCCCGCTGCCTCTGGCTCGTCCCGCTGCGTTCTGGCTCGTCCCGCTGCGCTCTGGCTCGTCCCTCTGCGCTCTGGCTCGTCCCGTTGGCTCTGGCTCGTCCCGCTGCGCTCTGGCTCGTCCCGCTGCGCTCTGGCTCGTCCCGCTGCGCTCTGGCTCGTCCCGCTGCGCTCTGGCTCGTCCCGCTGCGTTCTGGCTCGTCCCGCTGCGCTCTGTGGCTCGTCCCGCTGCGCTCTGGCTCGTCCCGCTGCGCTCTGGCTCGTCCCGCTGCGCTCTGGCTCGTCCCGCTGCGCTCTGGCTCGTCCCGCTGCGCTCTGTGGCTCGTCCCGCTGCGCTCTGGCTCGTCCCGCTGCGCTCTGTGGCCCACCGGGCCCCCGTCTGCCGTCCCCCGTCCTGTTCCGCTTGTTTCTGCCTTCCTCCGTGTCTGTCCTCCCAGCACTTTTCAATCTTTATCAATTGTCCTTGATACGCCACAGGTGCGCATTTGACAGACAAGTGGGTGGGGCCTGCACGCCATCGCACAGCACAGTTAAAAAGAAACTTTACAAAAACGCATGCATTAATGATAAAAACAAAATCATGCAATAAAACAGGTGCATTAAAAGGCCATGTCCCACACTTGGACTTGACTTGGACTCCAGGGCATGGACTTGGACTTGACTTGGACTTGCGGGTCTAGAGACTTGGACTTGCGGGTCAGAGACTTGGACTTGACTTGGACTTGCGGGTCAGAGACTTGTGTGCATCTCTGCTGTATATATGATATGCTGATACATTTCAAACTGTGTTGTCTTTCTCATTCTTTAACATTAACAAGAAACAAAAACAGCTTTCTAGTTCAAAGCTTGTATGTGGCTTTTAAATTACTATTAATTACTTTTATTACACGGCTCCTCACAGCAGCAGTAGAACGCTCCATTGATTTGAACGTAATTTCAAAACGTTCTACGGGTCATTATTTCTTGATAACAGACCTCTCAAAACAATAATGACCGCTGCCCTTTGGCAAAGCAACCTCTGCTTGTAATAAGCATTTGCTTCGTCCACCTCCTTTTCAAACCATGCACCTGTATATCTGTCTGTTATGTTGATTTTTGAGATGATGATGTTTGTGCAGGTTTTGAAATAAATAAATAAATAAATAAAAAATAATTCATGTGTATAGATTCCGGCCACTCCGGAGCTAGCCACGCTCAATAAACGCAAATACCAATCAATCAACACATTTAAATGTTAATCAGAGAATACATTATACATATACATTCTTAATACACATGCACAGAGTTTTCAGAAGTATCTATTAAGGTTTTCATTACAAAAATACTGTTTTAATGCGAGAAAAAGCTATCACAAAAAACCCAGAAGTAGATTCCAGGACATTTTCGGACACATTTTCAGAGGATCGAATTTTGGATTTAGGTTAAGTTTATGTATGGGTCACTCACCGCTGATGTTCAGGATTCTTTCTTCAGTTTTCATGCAGTTCGAGAGAGTTCTAGTTTGGAAGTTCCCAGCCTAACTGTTACTCGCATAGCCACGGGAAAGCCTTTGGGAACTATTTTATTTTCTGTCATTAAATAAACCTTTTGGCATTCCTAAAAGTGGACTGAAGTTTATTTGTGTGTTCTGTTGGTACAAAGCCGTATAATAAGCCGTATAATAAGCGGGATATTGGCAGGTCATTATCAGAAAGTAAGTACCTTCAGGGCAGAAGCGGACCCCTCCGTCGGGGATTCTTATTTTCCTGTCCTGTTCTTATTTTCCGGTAATGACCTGCCTACTATACATTATCCCTTACTTATTGAATATGAGTTTGCTATAATTTGTATGTATTTCTATGAACAATATGAGCCCAGCTGCTCGAAGTGAAACAAACCTGGACGAAAAGATAGATATTAGGCTTTGTATTGCTGACTGGGTTTAATATAGTTTACTTGAAAATATTGCTTATAGCATTCAGAGTTCACAGTTTATATTAATTGGCCTGATTGTTTTCTTGATAAATTTAGCTTTAAAAGGGACTCTCCATGGTGTCAACTAGGGGGGAAACAAAAAATATTGGTGGACCGCATAAGGCCCGGGGGCCACGTGTTTGGGACAACTGCCTTAGACCCTTGTGAATCAGTGAGGAACCACTCAGAAACCCAGTGGGATAAACAAAGAAACCTTGAGTGGTACATATGCAATGTTGGCTCTTTTTTCTGAGTTCAGATGCATGTGTTGGTGTAAATTGCTGCTGTATCGGGAGACGCAGCCGCAGCAGTGGGAGTGTAATGAGCAGAGTGCCACACGCAGTGCAGCCCGGTCAGGCCTTGGTAACACTTAATGGTTTTGTGGCACTTGTCACACTTGGTCGGGCAGTTTCCCTCCACCCAGAAGTGGAGCATGACCTGAGGAGCGGGGAGAGGGCCCGAGGTGAGAAGAGAGCTCTGCTGGAGCCAAACAAGTGTGTGCTGCGTCAAAACAACACGACCACATGACCAATCAGTTGTATGCGGCGACCTGCGGGCGCCGACCTGCGGGCACTGAGCCACGGGCGCTTAGGTGAGCCACACAATTGTGCTTGTGCTGTTGGATTAAAGAAGACATCAACTTTTGGAGATTTTAAGCACCCGGGAATCTGGCTTTCTATGTTAAAGCTCCCTAACTGTCTAGAACAATCACTTCTCTGTTTTTTCAGCTCCCTCTGAAGGCCGCATAGGGAGTTATAGGGAGCAACGAATCAGCTGACTGGAGACGGTGCTGCCTGTGGTGGCAGTGTTAGTATTAGATAGCAATATGGCCTACGTGCAGGACTCTACAAGGACTCTATGTTATGACTATGATTAGACTGTCTCTTTGTGACACGTATGTCTTTCGATGTGTGACGTGACAATGACTATATAAACTGTGTACTGCCTTTATTCTGTCTGAATGAAAGACGCGATCCCAGACTTTGTCATCTTCTTCAGGTACTTTTATGAACACAATTTAGAGAGTTCGACAGACCTCAAAAACAGACCAAAATTTAGCTAGTATCCAATTATGCAGACTTTACATATAAAAAGGTGTCTGCTTACCTTATTCTTGTCAAACAGGTGCATGCACGGACTGTCCGAGAGGTCTGCCAACCTCTTTTCCGCGTCGGAATATTCAATTTAAAAAACTAAAGTGACAGAAGCGACAAGAAGCATCCAGGAACAGCTCTTCCAGTCTGCTGGAATCTCCGCTCCCAGACACAGCCGGTCTCTCACGCCGAGGAAAAGAAAACAAAGCAAACTCCCTCAAAACAATCCAGAGAATGGCACACACGGAGCCGCACATTCTCCACCAAATCTGTCAGGATGAAGCAGACAGAGACGGATCGTGGTGCGCCAAACTCTGGAAGTTTATTTAAGTTTCTCTCAAGTTCCACTGGTTTACTCTGTTTCTTTCTCTCAGACAGAATAAAGGCAGTACACAGTTTATTTAGTCATTGTCACGTCACACATCGAAAGACATACGTGTCACAAAGAGACAGTCAAATCATAGTCATAACATGGAGTCCTTGTAGAGTCCTTGTAGAGTCCTGCACGTAGGCCATATTGCTATCTAGTAAGTAAGTAAGTAAGTAAGTTTTTATTTATATACCGCCTTTTCACTGCAGATCTGAGTCTCAAAGCGATTTACAATTGTTAATTTTGGGCATTTGTCTCTCACTCCACACAGAGATGGGAGTGGGGGTCGCCAGTACAGGAGGCGCATGCCAGAACTATTGGACACATTTTTAGTGGTAGGGGAAACCGGAGTACCCGGAGGAAACCTACGCAGACACGGGGAGAACATGCAAACTCCACTCAGAAAGGCCCTGGTCCGACCGGGATTCGAACCCAGGACCTTCTTGCTGAGAGGCGAGAGTGCTATCCACTCAGCCACCGTGCCGCCCAGTATCTAATACTAACAGCAGCATAGGGAGTTACAGGAAGCTCTGACCAAACAACGAATCAGCTGACTGGAGATGCTGATCCCTCAGGTGATAGCATAGGGAGTTTCAGCAAGCTCTGACTGCAGACGCTGCTCCATCTGGTGGCAGCACAGAGAGTTACAGGGAGCTCTGACTGCAGGGGTAGTCACATGTCAGGCTACTGGATGGATCTAAAAACGACTTCATGTCTGTTTTTTATCAGGAACAATGTAACAGTGTTGTGCCAGTTCACAACTTTTCTGAACTAGTTCAAGTTCAGTTCATACATGCTCAAAGTGAACAGTTCACGTTCAAAGTTCACATTTTTAATTCTGAACTTGTTCAAAGTTCAGTTCATTTTACTTTTTTCGTGAAATAGTCAAATAAATACTTTTTTCACACTACGAGCTATATATATATATATATATATATATATATATATATATATATATATATATATATATATATATATAATTATATCTCTCCTGTACACCCACAGGAGGAGAGCCTTTTGACCACAAAACAGACAAGATTTACATGGTTTTCAATGGGAGCCAAACGGAGTTGCTCCATCTCTGCTCATAAACTACAGACAGTAATGCGCTGCAGTGCTCTGTCTGTACTTTATGCTCATAAACTACAGACAGTAATGCGCTGCAGTGCTGTGTCTGTACTTTATGCTCATAAACTACAGACAGTAATGTGCTGCAGTGCTGTGTCTGTACTTTATGCTCATAAACTACAGACAGTAATGCGCTGCAGTGCTGTGTCTGTACTTTATGCTCATAAACTACAGACAGTAATGCGCTGCAGTGCTGTGTCTGTACTTTATGCTCATAAACTACAGACAGTAATGTGCTGCAGTGCGTGTGTCTGTACTTTATGCTCATAAACTACAGACAGTAATGCGCTGCAGTGCTGTGTCTGTACTTTATGCTCATAAACTACAGACAGTAATGCGCTGCAGTGCTGTGTCTGTACTTTATGCTCATAAAACTACAGACAGTAATGTGCTGCAGTGCTGTGTCTGTACTTTATGCTCATAAACTACAGACAGTAATGCGCTGCAGTGCTGTGTCTGTACTTTATGCTCATAAACTACAGACAGTAATGCGCTGCAGTGCGTGTGTCTGTACTTTATGCTCATAAACTACAGACAGTAATGTGCTGCAGTGCTGTGTCTGTACTTTATGCTCATAAACTACAGACAGTAATGCGCTGCAGTGCTGTGTCTGTACTTTATGCTCATAAACTACAGACAGTAATGCGCTGCAGTGCTGTGTCTGTACTTTATGCTCATAAACTACAGACAGTAATGCGCTGCAGTGCTGTGTCTGTACTTTATGCTCATAAACTACAGACAGTAATGCGCTGCAGTGCTGTGTGTGTACTTTATGCTCATAAACTACAGACAGTAATGCGCTGCAGTGCTGTGTCTGTACTTTATGCTCATAAACTACAGACAGTAATGCGCTGCAGTGCGTGTGTCTGTACTTTATGCTCATAAACTACAGACAGTAATGTGCTTCAGTGCGTGTGTCTGTACTTTATGCTCATAAACTACAGACAGTAATGCGCTGCAGTGCTGTGTCTGTACTTTATGCTCATAAACTACAGACAGTAATGCGCTGCAGTGCTGTGTCTGTACTTTATGCTCATAAACTACAGACAGTAATGTGCTGCAGTGCTGTGTCTGTACTTTATGCTCATAAACTACAGACAGTAATGCGCTGCAGTGCTGTGTCTGTACTTTATGCTCATAAACTACAGACAGTAATGCGCTGCAGTGCTGTGTCTGTACTTTATGCTCATAAACTACAGACAGTAATGCGCTGCAGTGCTGTGTCTGTACTTTATGCTCATAAACTACAGACAGTAATGCGCTGCAGTGCGTGTGTCTGTACTTTATGCTCATAAACTACAGACAGTAATGCGCTGCAGTGCTGTGTCTGTACTTTATGCTCATAAACTACAGACAGTAATGCGCTGCAGTGCTGTGTCTGTACTTTATGCTCATAAACTACAGACAGTAATGCGCTGCAGTGCTGTGTCTGTACTTTATGCTCATAAACTACAGACAGTAATGCGCTGCAGTGCTGTGTCTGTACTTTATGCTCATAAACTACAGACAGTAATGCGCTGCAGTGCGTGTGTCTGTACTTTATGCTCATAAACTACAGACAGTAATGCGCTGCAGTGCTGTGTCTGTACTTTATGCTCATAAACTACAGACAGTAATGCGCTGCAGTGCTGTGTCTGTACTTTATGCTCATAAACTACAGACAGTAATGTGCTGCAGTGCTGTGTCTGTACTTTATGCTCATAAACTACAGACAGTAATGCGCTGCAGTGCTGTGTCTGTACTTTATGCTCATAAACTACAGACAGTAATGCGCTGCAGTGCGTGTGTCTGTACTTTATGCTCATAAACTACAGACAGTAATGTGCTGCAGTGCTGTGTCTGTACTTTATGCTCATAAACTACAGACAGTAATGCGCTGCAGTGCTGTGTCTGTACTTTATGCTCATAAACTACAGACAGTAATGTGCTGCAGTGCGTGTGTCTGTACTTTATGCTCATAAACTACAGACAGTAATGCGCTGCAGTGCTGTGTCTGTACTTTATGCTCATAAACTACAGACAGTAATGTGCTGCAGTGCTGTGTTTTCATCACGACTCGGGCACATGTGAAAAGCACCAGCTCACAGCGCCGCACCGCAACACGGAGTCGGGGTGCGTTCACAGACGGTGGAAACCGCAGGAATTTTTAGATTTCGGCGGAAACAGTGCGGAGAATACAGGAGGGAGGAACTTTCTCTCGTTGTGTTTCAAAAGAGAAAACAGATTCCAACGTTCATAGTGATGTCTGCCGTTCATGACACATAAAATGAACTAATTCACGTTCAAGTTCTTTTTAAAAATGTGTTGCGTTCAGATCAACGTTCACGAAAAAATGAGCGTGTTCAATGAACGCGTTCTTTTGAACTCGTTCAAGCACAACACTGCAATGTAACATGATTAAATGCCCATGCACACATTTGCTTTTTTTCTGCCTTAAAATGTAAATACAGTAAATTCCACTTATTCTGATAATTTGATTCACCGTCTCCGTCCCACAGTAAGGACAGTCCGCTGGTCCCTGTGATGTTTTCTTTGAGGTTTTCTTTCATAAATCATTCTAAATGTTTCAACTTCATCTACATGACCCTGACCTCCATGGCTCTGGTCAGCTGTTTGTAAATGTGACATCACCTCTGTGTTCTTCTTGGAACTGACGTAGGTCTTGATGCAGGAGGGCGGGGCCCGGGACACGCAGAGCTTGTGCACTGTGTACTTGCAGACTGAGGGCAGACAAAGAATGGGTAGGTCAGAGGTCAGCACTAAGAGCAGACAGAGGAAGCAGAGGTCAGCTCTGAGGGTAGACATAAGAGGCACAGGTCAGGGTCGGCTCCAAACAATACAGATAATCTGTTGTTATAAATATGGATCATATATAGTAGTAGTAGTAGTTTATTTGTTCAGTCACTTTTTCACAACTCAGACAATACAGATCATTTGAAAAAAATAAAGTAAAAAGTAAAGTTGACTGAAAGGGTTTAGGCTGAAGTGAAACACTTATAGAAGCCTAACCCTACTATAGCTTACTATAACCAGAACAACTAAAACAGCAACAATTAGCTTTCAGCATGGAAAAACAATAGAAAATACATATCTATATTTTTGCAGAAAAGACATGTAGGTAAATGAGGATTCATACAAATTGTTTTGATGATATAAACAATATTATAATGGTAATAATAATAATAATGTTGATAATTGCTTTAATATTATTTATTTATTCTAATTCTCTATATTTATTTATAACATGAATTTTAAGACCAGACCATTCCAGACAGCAACTCCTCTAACTGAGACACATCTACACTTTGCTTTGGTCCTGGCAGTGACCCTTTGGTAAATGTCAGTTCCTCTAAGATTATAATTTGATTCTCTGGTGTTGAACCTTTCCTGGATGCATTTAGGGACATTCTGATTGTGAACATTGTACATGACAACTGCTGTATTTAGGTCAACTATATCATGTAATTTTAGGGTATTTGATTTTATAAATAATGGATTTGATGATGAATAATAGTCTGCACATTTGATTATTCTGATTGCTTTCTTTTGCATTAAGAAGAGAGGCTGAATTGAGGTTTTATAATTATTCCCCCACACAACCACACAATAATGCAAGTATGGCAGTATTAGTGAAGTGTATAATAGGTGTAATGATTTTTTGTTAACGATTTTTTTAATTTTGCACAATATTCCAATCATTTTAGATATCTTTGTCTTCAAGTATTCTATATGTATTTTCCAGTTAAGTTTTGCGTCAATGTTAACTCCCAAGAATGTTGTGTTGTACACCCTCTCTATTTCAATTTGATCTATATTTAATTTGGTCGGAAAGCCAATTTTTTTATTACCAAAAATAATATATTTAGTTTTGCTCACGTTCATTGATAATTTATTGTAATCAAACCATTTCTTTAATATTAATAGTTCATTTCCAGTTTTTTCCATAAGCTGCTCAAGATTTTGTCCTGAACAGTAGAGACTGGTGTCGCCTGCAAACAGAATACAGTGCATAGTTTTAAGGACCTCACAGATGTCGTTGATGTACAATATAAACAATTTAGGCCCAAGGACTGAGCCCTGTGGTACTCCGTGTGTGGTTAGGTTTTTATCTGAATTAACATTATTGACCGTAACATATTGATCCCTGCCTGTAAGATAGTTTTTGAACCAGTAGTGAGCAACTCCCCGGACACCATAGCGTTCCATTTTGGCTAATAATAAATCGTGATTGATGGTGTCAAAGGCTTTGCTCAGATCAATAAAAACTCCAACTGTATACTCGCATTTGTCAGTCGCAGTTGAGATTGCTTCAACCAGCTCCATAACTGCCATTGCGGTAGATCGGTTTGATCTGAAACCAAACTGGTAGTCGCTTATAATGTTATGCTTACTGCAGAATTCATCTAACCGAATAATAAATAACTTTTCCAAAATTTTTGAAAACTGTGAAAGGAGTGAAATTGGTCCGTAGTTATTGAGTTGATGTGGATCACCATTTTTGAAAATTGGTATTACTTTAGCGGTTTTCATTTTGGATGGAAAGATGCCTGTGAGAAAGGACTGATTACAAATGTAAGTAAAGGGTGAAACAATACAATGAATTATATTTTTTACAAACATGATATCAAGATTGAAACTGTCAGTGGACTGCTTATTTTTAAATGTTCTCACAATGTTAATGATTTCATTTTCCTCCACACATCTCATGTAGAAAGAGTTAACATTTCTTTGTACGTTAATAATATTGACATCATGGTCTTCTAACGGTGGAGAAATTGTTCTGGCGAGAGTGGGTCCGATATTTACAAAAAAATCATTGAATGCGTCTGCTATTTCTTTATTATCATTCATGATTTGGGTTTTATTCACAAAATAGTTTGGGTGATCTTTTTTGGTTCCATTTTTGAGTAAACCATTTAATATTTTCCATGTACCTCGAATGTTGTTTTTATTCTGCTCCAATCTTTTATTATTGTAATCTTTTTCACTGGTTCTTATTATGTTTATCAACTTATTTTTATATATTTTATATCTTTTATCAGCTTCTTTAGTCCTGGATTTTAGGGATAATTTATAAAGGTGGTTTTTCTTTTTACATGCGTTTATGATGCCTTTGGAAATCCACGGTTTTTCTTTCTTGCCTGATTCTTTGCTGATACACTTCTTTGGAGGGCAGTATTTATCATAAAGGCCTTCCAGTTTGGTCAAAAAACGATCATAGGCCTTATCAGGGTCTGTTGTGTCGTAGACCTCATCCCAAGTCTGGTTGAATAGATCTGTCCTTAAGGCGTCCATGGCTTCAGGGGTCCTGTGTCTTATCATTTTGTATTTGATTGTTTTGGGTGTAGTTTGCTTTTTAAGGATCTGGTGAAATATGCTAAACACAGGAAGGTGATCTCTAATGTCATTAATTAATAATCCAGCAGTTATTTTTGTTTCAAGACCATTTGTAAAAATATTGTCAATTAATGTTGCAGTTTCACATGTAATTCTTGTTAGTTTTGTAATGAGTGGAAATAGATTGTTACTGTACATAGTTGTAATGAATTCATTAGTTGGTGTGTTGTTATTAGGATTCAACATATTGATGTTAAAATCACCACAGACAATATATACTTTTTTTATATTGCTAAATAATCTATCAATGTTCTGGTTAAATATGTCTATGCATGACCCTGGTGTCCTGTACAGACAACTGATAATTATATTTTTTGTTTTATCTACCTCGATTTCAACACTGATACACTCGAGAACGCCATCAATTGCCACTGATTTACTTTTCACTAGATTACATTTCAGATCCGTATCCACAAAAAATGCAACCCCACCACCCTTTCTGTTTGTCCTATTGACAGTAAACAATTCGTATCCTTCAAATTCAACTTCACTAATTTTGTTAGTATCTAACCAAGTCTCTGAAACTGCTATGACATTAAATCTATTGAATTGATTGAGATAATCTTTAATATTGTCAATATTTTTATACAAACTCCTACTGTTGAAATGAATTATACTGAATGCACCTACTCTATTTATGTCACAGAATTGTTCATTTGAATAATACTTACAGTCCTTCATCAAGTCATTAATAAAATTATTATCAGGATCGATATCCCCACCAAATTCATTCATTTTGTAGTTCAAGGTGTCAAATAATTCAAGATTTATCTGTTCGAAATCTGTTGTGGTGTCACTTTGATTAAGTAAATCAATATTTTCAAATTCTTTCTCATATTCATCTCTAGACTCTGTCATCTCTGTTGAGTTTGGTATTGCATCATAATAAAAAGCAACTCTTTACAACTGCACGCACATATTTGTACTGATCCACACAAACAGACACATATTTGTACTGATCCACACAAACAGACACACATTTGTACTGACCCAAACAAACAGACACACACATTTGTACTGACCCAAACAAACAGACACACACATTTGTACTGACCCAAACAAACAGACACACACATTTGTACTGACCCAAACAAACAGACACACACATTTGTACTGACCCAAACAAACAGACACACACATTTGTACTGACCCAAACAAACAGACACACACATTTGTACTGACCCAAACAAACAGACACACACATTTGTACTGACCCAAACAAACAGACACACACATTTGTACTGACCCAAACAAACAGACATACATCAGACCTACGTACACACATCCAAACATACTCGCGCACACACACATTTGAATAGAACATGTAAACAAGGGAAAAATAAAAATAAAAAAAAGTCAAATTTGATTTCCAACACATAAATAAAAAATCCATTGATGAGAGTAACCAACGCGCTGAGATGAATGCACTGCATCCAAAATGCATTTCTCAATTCGACAACAAAAAAGGCATATCCATGAACAATCAAAAATCCACATAAATCACCAAGCGTCCAGTTAATTTGTGTGTTACAAAAAAGAAAAATAATCCATCCTCTGACTCGCTCAGAGATTGACAGTACACACTTGTACCCCCAATATTGTAGTCCCAGGCCTCACACAAACACAACAGATGTTCTGGGGATCACAAAACCACTGCGTCTTAACTAACTTTATGGTGAATTGGACAAACGCAAGTGGACAAACGCAAGACAAAATATGCAAGTAATCTGGCCTTGTCTAAGTCACAAGGACTCTGATTGCGTATCCGTGTTTAGGTATTTCATGACACTTTGAAGCAACTATTGTTAAAGTTCAAACTCATTCTAACATTTGCACAAGCAGACAGTACTTTTCCCTTGTTTTGGTTAACTTCAAGGTTGAAGCTACAAGCACACCGTGGCAGCTGCTGATAGGAGGTTTCTGTTTCTCCTGAGTATATTATCACTTTCTGTCGGGTCCCGGCTCAAAAGTGGCCAAAATGACATGCGCTGACATGCTGCAATACCACCCCGGGCCTGTGGGGGTGGACCCGGAAGTAGAATTAGCCAATGCTAACATATAGCATTGGCAGACCTCTGGAAAACGTCTTTACAGGATGGTCCAAAAACTGGCTCTTGGCCCAAAGCTCCGTTCCACATGTGTGTCAATGCTGAGGGGGGTGTTTTGGTCCACTCTAGTTTACTTGCTGTGAATTTCTGAAGTCTCTCGTTCAAATGAATGGAGCTGCGCCGGCTGACACATGCGCAGATGCGTTTTTTCACTATTTTCTTGTGGGCGGGACCACTCGCGGCCATTTTGGATAGCTCCAGTAGAGCACTATTTTTTGGTCCATTAGTTAGAACGGCGGAGATAGGCGTGACTACGTCCGCTCATTTTTACAGTCTATGGTAACATCCCTTGTTTGTGCTTTGTTCGTGCTCTACCATCAACAATAAAACATGTCTTCTGTCTGAATTAAAGACACAATCCCAGACTTTGTCATCTTCTTCACGTGTTATGACTAATATGTTCTGATTGTCTCTTGATGTGACACGCATGTCTTTCGATGTGTGACATTATGTGTGACAAAACATTGACTATATAGAGCTTGTTCTAACTTTGTTCTGTCTGAAAAAAACCCGGAAAGAAACTGAGGATAAACTTTCAGGCTTCCAGTCTGTGAGGCTGATTTTCCACAACTTTATGCTTCATCCAACCCCTTTTCAAACTGTATTTATGTTTAAAGGTATCCTGTTTTTATTTCTTGATTGTGTTTAAGTTTTAAATAAATGAATTTGATTAATTTAAAAAAACACACACATTTTTACAGCAGAGCAGGCCCTCCCCCCAGGGGACTCACATGAACAGCAGAGGCCCTTCCCCCCCAGGCCCAGAGAGAGACTCACATGAACAGCAGAGGCCCTTCCCCCCCAGGCCCAGAGAGAGACTCACATGAACAGCAGAGGCCCTTCCCCCCCAGGCCCAGAGAGAGACTCACATGAACAGCAGAGACCCTGCTTTCCCAGCCCAATCAACATGTTGAGACACAGGTTGCAGTAGGCCGGTTTGTTAAAGTGCTTCAGCCTCCACACGTGCTGCCCGTCGTCCTTCACATTCTGTCAGAACACAAACAATTAACTGTGAAACTCTGTCATTCATGCTGTGAACCAAGAATAACACATGAATTCTGCAGGGCCATGATCCCAGAACTCAGACTTCAGATTTCAGACTTAAGACCTCAGACATAGGAGCTCGGACTTCAGACTTCAGACCTAAGACCTCTGCTTTTTTTGTTGTCTCTTCCACCCCACCCCTAACCCTTATCTACAACAGTGTTAGAATTCTAAAGAAAGAATATATTCAGGTGTCAGTCAGGGCCAGGACCTTATCTTTATCAGCTTCATCCATAAAAACATGAGCTGCAAGTTAAAACTGGTTAAATACTTCCATCTAGTGGTGACATGAGGTTGTACAGCTGCAGAAAACAGAATATTGTGAGTATAACTGAATGATAGCTCAACTAATGACTCATGATTTATGTGATATAACTAGTTGTGGACAATAGATGTAAAAAAGAAAATGTTTCCAGTAACTTTCCCATTACTCTGGGGTCAGTAATAAAAGTCATGGACACCAATATTACTTATGATAGAAGTATAATAATAATAATAATACAAATTATTCATAATGCACTTTACATTTCAATGAAATCTCAGAGGTATAACAGTATGTATATATATATATGTGTGTGTCCCTCTCTCTATGTCTGTGTGTGTCTCTTTAAGTGTGTGTGTGCTCTGACCGTCTCCAGTCCTAGCAGCACGAGCAGGGGAATGGTGGTCAGTCCTCCCTGAATCCACTCATCTAGAGACACAGTTCCATCGCAGTCGTAGTCGATCTCCTGCATCATCTCCTGAAGGATCTAGAACATTCAGACTGTGGTGATCCTCGGTGGAGACAGGGCCCTCACACATACTCTCTCTCTTTGTGACTTGTTGTAACCAGCAAAAACACAAATGGAATAGCAGAAACTGTATTTACCGGTTTGAGTTCTGTCACGTCCCACTCCAGATACTCAGCCACGGGCATCATCTGTGACATGATGTGCTCCAGCTCCTGAGGAGGATCACACGGCACTTTTATGTTTGCGTGTTACTTCCTTACCCCAGTCATTGACAGCCTGGTTTGTGGCAGTGCTGTGTGTGTCTGTGTGTGTGTGTTTGTGTGCAGGGAACAAAAGCTGACGTTGTAATAACTGGGTTTGTGTGTTTGCTCAATGACATTATCCACAGAATTACCCATTTCTCACCAGAATGATAGCCTGAGTCTTTGAGGTTATTTCATTTACTTACAGGCTTTAACAAGAGCGTGGACAGAGCTCCAGCACCAAAAGGTTACACATAAAAGGAACTATTACACAACCCACCGCCCCCTGGCTCTCCGCTGCAGGCGTGCTCCCCCAAATGCACCATAAAGGTACATTGGTGCTGCAGGTTCTCACTACAGTGAGCAGAGTCTATGGTGTGATCTATGGTGTGGACTGTGGCGTGGTCTAGGGTGTGGTCTATGGTGTGGACTGTGGCGTGGTCTAGGGTGTGGTCTATGGTGTGGTGCAGTGGTTAGTCTTCCATGAAAAGCTAACCACTGCTCCAGTTTCTTCCGGGTGCTCTGGTTTCCCCTACCATGCACAATAGGTCGGGCATGTACCTCCTGTACGGCGACCCCGCTCCCAAGTGTGAAGTGAGAGAACAAATGCCCACAACAATTGTAAAACGCTGTGAAAGCGTGACTCCCTCACTAACCAGATAATTACTCTGATAATGTCAGTATTATACCCAGCAACACTGTGAAGAATCTTGGCGTCATTTTCGACAAAGAACTCTCCTTCAAGGCTTATATAAGCCAAGCAACTAAAACGGCGTACTTCCACTTACGGAACATCGCTAAAATTAGGAATATTCTTCCTAAAAGTGACGCGGAAAAACTCATTCACGCGTTTGTCACCTCAAGGCTCGACTGTAACGCTTTACTGGCAGCGTGCCCTAAAGCCTCTTTGAAGAGCTTCCAGCTCGTTCAGAATACAGCAGCTAGGATCTTAACAGGTACCAAAAGGAGGGAGCACATAACTCCGGTGTTAAAATCACTCCACTGGCTCCTGTGGAGTACAGAATAAAGTTTAAAATCCTTCTCTTAACATATAAAGCCATAAATGGCTTGGCTCCCTCTTATCTCCAAGACACGTTAGTGTCGTATCAACCAAGTCGAGCGTTGCGTTCCTTGTGGATGCAGGAGGGTCTTGTTGGACAGTTAGTGTCCAACAGAAAGGATTGATGATGATCAGGACACTTTAGCATTCTACAACATGTATGGACATTTTCTTCTGTGTGTGCTTTATATTCTTCATGTGTTTTAACTGTTGATTCTCTGACCTGTGTTGGTGATTTCAATGGTTTTGTTAAGTCCTCTGAGATGACTTCTGTTGTGACCTAGGGCTATACAAGAATAAATTGTATTGTATTGTATTGTATTGTATTGTATTGAAAGGCCTATATAGATAAAGATTACTTATACTCACTAACTAAAGTATGGTCTATGGTGTGGTTTGTGGTCTATCGAGTGCAAGCAGTGGTCCCCAACCTTTTGTCCCTGGACCGGTACCGGGCCGTAGGACATTCGAACCGGGCCACCAAGGAAAGAATAAATAATTTCCGTATTTATAATCCAAGTCTAAACAATCCTTGGTTTATTTTCTTGGTTCACGTTGGCACACGGTTAGCACTGACACAAATTTCCCTCCACCGCACATGCGTGGAAGCTGAAATGTAAACACATTTATGTGTTCTGAAGAAGCTCCCGCTGGCTGCACAGAGGAGGCTCAGAGAATGGGGGGGGGGGGACAAAGATATCTGGATGATGGGTATTATGCCCCAGTGGAAATTTAATCGATACAAACACCAATGCGTGTGTGTTTATTTGAGAATGTTTGCGTTTGTCACCTCTGTATGTATGTTTCACCTGCGTGTGTGTCTCTATTCTTGTGACTATGTGTGTCTGCAGTAATGACTGTATGTGCCTATAGTTGTGACCATGTGGGTGTGTGTGTGTCTTTACTTGTGACAGAGTGTGTGTGTGTGTGTGTGTGTTTATTTGCGAATGTGTGCGTGTGTCACGTATGTGTGTATGTTTCACCTGTGTGTGTGTCTGCAGTTGTGTGTGTGTGTGTGTGTGTTTGTTCCTGTAGTAGTGACCATGACCACACGTGTGTGTATCTATACTGGTGACAGTGTGTGTGTCTATACTTGTGACTTTGTATGTGTGTGTGCCTGTGTCTGTACTTTTGACTGTGTGTTTGTTAGTGTATGCATGTGTGTGTGTTTGTGTGTGTGTTCTCTACTCCTATGTGTATGTGGCGCTTTCTCTTCTTAAGATGTTCCTAAGACAATAGGTGACCTCTCTCTTCCTAAACCTCCTGGATCTGTGGCTGAGGCTTTAGCGAGATGCAGAATGTCCCAGAATGCACTTGAGTGGGTGAGGCGCTTACGGAGCTGTCCAGAGAGCCGTTCCCGTCGGTGTCGTAGAGGCGAAACATGACTGCGGTAATTACAGTCCGATTATATCACTCACCAGCACCGAAAGGTCACCTGTTTCCACCAGCCGTGTATACTTGTCCTTGCATGTTCTAGTCACGTGTACTAGAGTGTATACTTGTCCTTGCATGTTCTAGTCACGTGTACTAGAGTGTATACTTGTCCTTGCATGTTCTAGTCACGTGTACTAGAGTGTATACTTGTCCTTGCATGTTCTAGTCACGTGTACTAGAGTGTATACTTGTCCTTGCATGTTCTAGTCACGTGTACTAGAGTGTATACTTGTCCTTGCATGTTCTAGTCACGTGTACTAGAGTGTATACTTGTCCTTGCATGTTCTAGTCACGTGTACTAGAGTGTATACTTGTCCTTGCATGTTCTAGTCACGTGTACTAGAGTGTATACTTGTCCTTGCATGTTCTAGTCACGTGTACTAGAGTGTATACTTGTCCTTGCATGTTCTAGTCACGTGTACTAGAGTGTATACTTGTCCTTGCATGTTCTAGTCACGTGTACTAGAGTGTATACTTGTCCTTGCATGTTCTAGTCACGTGTACTAGAGTGTATACTTGTCCTTGCATGTTCTAGTCACGTGTACTAGAGTGTATACTTGTCCTTGCATGTTCTAGTCACGTGTACTAGAGTGTATACTTGTCCTTGCATGTTCTAGTCACGTGTACTAGAGTGTATACTTGTCCTTGCATGTTCTAGTCACGTGTACTAGAGTGTATACTTGTCCTTGCATGTTCTAGTCACGTGTACTAGAGTGTATACTTGTCCTTGCATGTTCTAGTCACGTGTACTAGAGTGTATACTTGTCCTTGCATGTTCTAGTCACGTGTACTAGAGTGTATACTTGTCCTTGCATGTTCTAGTCACGTGTACTAGAGTGTATACTTGTCCTTGCATGTTCTAGTCACGTGTACTAGAGTGTATACTTGTCCTTGCATGTTCTAGTCACGTGTACTAGAGTGTATACTTGTCCTTGCATGTTCTAGTCACGTGTACTAGAGTGTATACTTGTCCTTGCATGTTCTAGTCACGTGTACTAGAGTGTATACTTGTCCTTGCATGTTCTAGTCATGTGTACTAGAGTGTATACTTGTCCTTGCATGTTCTAGTCATGTGTACTAGAGTGTATACTTGTCCTTGCATGTTCTAGTCCTGCAGTCATGTGTACTAGAGTGTATACTTGTCCTTGCATGTTCTAGTCACGTGTACTAGAGTGTATACTTGTCCTTGCATGTTCTAGTCATGTGTACTAGAGTGTATACTTGTCCTTGCATGTTCTAGTCACGTGTACTAGAGTGTATACTTGTCCTTGCATGTTCTAGTCACGTGTACTAGAGTGTATACTTGTCCTTGCATGTTCTAGTCACGTGTACTAGAGTGTATACTTGTCCTTGCATGTTCTAGTCATGTGTACTAGAGTGTATACTTGTCCTTGCATGTTCTAGTCACGTGTACTAGAGTGTATACTTGTCCTTGCATGTTCTAGTCACGTGTACTAGAGTGTATACTTGTCCTTGCATGTTCTAGTCACGTGTACTAGAGTGTATACTTGTCCTTGCATGTTCTAGTCATGTGTACTAGAGTGTATACTTGTCCTTGCATGTTCTAGTCACGTGTACTAGAGTGTATACTTGTCCTTGCATGTTCTAGTCACGTGTACTAGAGTGTATACTTGTCCTTGCATGTTCTAGTCACGTGTACTAGAGTGTATACTTGTCCTTGCATGTTCTAGTCATGTGTACTAGAGTGTATACTTGTCCTTGCATGTTCTAGTCATGTGTACTAGAGTGTATACTTGTCCTTGCATGTTCTAGTCACGTGTACTAGAGTGTATACTTGTCCTTGCATGTTCTAGTCACGTGTACTAGAGTGTATACTTGTCCTTGCATGTTCTAGTCACGTGTACTAGAGTGTATACTTGTCCTTGCATGTTCTAGTCACGTGTACTAGAGTGTATACTTGTCCTTGCATGTTCTAGTCACGTGTACTAGAGTGTCCACCCTACCCTACCATAGACCACTCTACTCTACGCTTCTATACCGTACCATACTATTCTTGGCTTGCAGTCACATGACGCATCAACTTCCAGTTAATGAAATGGTGGTCAGGCCAACAAAAATTGCTGCTGATATGCAAAGAAAATGTGACTCTTCTTCTGAGTATTTTCATGCTTTTTTAGATATTTCATGACACTTTGAAGCTACTGTGGTAAAAGCAAAGGAAGGTTTCTCACCCATCATCTGTACTTCTTAGCAGGTTTTCCCGAAGTTTCGAAAACCTGCTAAGAAGTACAGATGATGGGTGAGAAACTTTCCTTTGCTTTGACTAATCCCTGTACGACTGAGAGCTTACACAAACTTACTGTGGTAAAGGTTCTTACTCATTGTACAGTGCCTTGCGAAAGGCTTCAAACATAAAGATATAAAATTTAAATTTTTTGTCATGAATCATCAACAAGTAGGACACAATCGTGAAGTGGAAATTTTCTTCACTCTAGATTCTAATTCTCGAGATTGATACATCAAAAAAGTCAAATTGTGTAACGGTGTAGATCCTAATATGATCCCAATGCGTTTTCCGTGAATAATTTGATTTGCGAGTTAGAAAAATATTTGCCAGTTCAGTTCCCGGATATCTCAAACTGTGATTACAATCAAGCTTTTGCACTGCTAAACAAATGTTTGTAAAAACATGGATGCCTACAACTTTTTCGTCTGCTGGAGGGTTAAGGAACTCAGAGTTAAGGCTCAAATCCTGCATCGTAAAGAGCCGTGTGAGTAACGATTGTATGAACTTGTCATTCTCTACAAAACGATGCACCAACATGTGTGCTGTGTTCTTTTCAGGTCAAACATTCAGTGTTCATCTAAAACGCCAACTTATACTGAAAGTTAATTTTTTTTAAAAACATGGGGATGTAATAACTGCACATTGTGTCAGTGTTAATTTTGACAAGAAATTCTAATTTAGTTTTAGTCTTTTGACTAAAATTCATTTTAGTGTTAGTCACAATTTTAGTAATCAGATTTATTTTAGATTTAGTCCAATTTTAGTCGACAAAAATATGAAGCATGTTGCTCATTACATTTGTATAAATAGGGACATTTATTTCATACACGTTTCGCGCGTCCCGAGCGGCGCGTCTTTGAGCGTTTGGCGCGTTTTGAGATTTCAAGCGTTTTGACGCCTCCAACGCAGCCGCCGCTAGAGTTGAACATTGTTGAACTTTTTGAGAGAAGACGCGAGCCTCGACCAATCAGGAGCTTTCTCCTACAGTGACGACAGGACCGAGGGGAAGACAACACATCAGCTGTGGAGGACAAGCTCTGCTGTTAGCCCCGTGGACTACACTACTGTGACACGGAGGAGGTCAGTGAGGAAGTTGGTGTCTCGGGTTATTTAAGTTATTTAATCTTTTCACAATGGTTTATACTTCCCTGAACAATATCTGTAATGTCACAGAGAGAAACAAACCCACAGATTATAGCTACACAGAAGAAACAGTCCACGGAGACAGCAGCTATAGTATGCTAACATGTGGTATGCTAACATGTAGTATGCTAACATGTGGTATGCTAACATGTAGTATGCTAACATGTGGTATGCTAACATGTAGTATGCTAACATGTAGTATGCTAACATGTGGTATGCTAACATGTAGTATGCTAACATGTAGTATGCTAACATGTAGTATGCTAACATGTAGTATGCTAACATGTAGTATGCTAACATGTGGTATGCTAACATGTGGTATGCTAACATGTAGTATGCTAACATGTAGTATGCTAACATGTAGTATGCTAACATGTGGTATGCTAACATGTGGTATGCTAACATGTAGTATGCTAACATGTAGTATGCTAACATGTAGTATGCTAACATGTAGTATGCTAACATGTAGTATGCTAACATGTAGTATGCTAACATGTAGTATGCTAACATGTAGTATGCTAACATGTAGTATGCTAACATGTAGTATGCTAACATGTAGTATGCTAACATGTAGTATGCTAACATGTAGTATGCTAACATGTGGTATGCTAACATGTAGTATGCTAACATGTGTATGCTAACATGTGGTATGCTAACATGTGTATGCTAACATGTAGTATGCTAACATGTAGTATGCTAACATGTGGTATGCTAACATGTAGTATGCTAACATGTAGTATGCTAACATGTAGTATGCTAACATGTAGTATGCTAACATGTAGTATGCTAACATGTAGTATGCTAACATGTAGTATGCTAACATGTAGTATGCTAACATGTAGTATGCTAACATGTAGTATGCTAACATGTGTATGCTAACATGTAGTATGCTAACATGTAGTATGCTAACATGTAGTATGCTAACATGTGGTATGCTAACATGTGGTATGCTAACATGTAGTATGCTAACATGTAGTATGCTAACATGTAGTATGCTAACATGTAGTATGCTAACATGTAGTATGCTAACATGTAGTATGCTAACATGTAGTATGCTAACATGTAGTATGCTAACATGTAGTATGCTAACATGTAGTATGCTAACATGTAGTATGCTAACATGTAGTATGCTAACATGTAGTATGCTAACATGTAGTATGCTAACATGTAGTATGCTAACATGTAGTATGCTAACATGTAGTATGCTAACATGTGGTATGCTAACATGTAGTATGCTAACATGTAGTATGCTAACATGTAGTATGCTAACATGTGTATGCTAACATGTAGTATGCTAACATGTGTATGCTAACATGTAGTATGCTAACATGTAGTATGCTAACATGTGGTATGCTAACATGTGGTATGCTAACATGTAGTATGCTAACATGTAGTATGCTAACATGTAGTATGCTAACATGTGTATGCTAACATGTAGTATGCTAACATGTAGTATGCTAACATGTAGTATGCTAACATGTAGTATGCTAACATGTAGTATGCTAACATGTAGTATGCTAACATGTAGTATGCTAACATGTAGTATGCTAACATGTAG